TGAATCCTTGATGTCATTGAACATTTCTGTGTGTGTGTGTGTGTGTGTGTGTGTGTGTGTGTGTGTGTGTGTGTGTGTGTGTGTGTGTGTGTTACAGGAAGAAGTTTCAGAGTTTTCAAGATCGAAGGCTCAGGGTTAATGAGGGCGACGCCACTGTCCTAAAGAAAGCCAGGACGGATGGAAAATTTCACGAAGCTTTGCTCGACAGGTGTGAAAATAAGTGTATTATATCCTTACTGTCAGCCACTTACGCTTCTTTTAATGAGCGCTCTCTGTTAAGGGATCTTCTTTCCCAAATGAGTGTTTCTACCTGAAGTTATTAAATTCAAAGTGCCAGAGGAGTGTTTTGTGTAAAAATAAAGCACTCAGGTACTGCAGAGGCCTGTGTGTTCACACACTGTGTAATACAAAGCAATGAAAAGGTGGCATTCAAGATCAGCATGTGTGCATTCAAAATCCACTTTATTCCTGCACTTCACTTCTGTTTCCCTTTCAAAGATAAAGCTGATAGCAGTTTTACATCTCTAAATGAAGATTTGCTTTGGAAAAAATCTCAGTTGAAAAATTCAAGTGGGATTCAAGGGTTTAGAAAAAAAACTGAAGGGTATATATATTTTTGTTTCTTTTCTGATTTAGTTTTTTCACACAGTGAAATTTTCGGAGGTTTTATCCTGTTGTGTTGGCATAATCTTTATCTACTCTTATAGTATATAAAGTCTTACACAAATCAGTTCTCTGTACTTACCATTTAGAGCAGTTTTTAAATTCAAGTTATTCTAATCATGGAATTAATACACGTATTATTTGCACTGACTAACCCTGAATATAAGATGTCCTTTTTTTTTTTTTTTATTGCAGGCGAAGCAAAATGAAAGCAGACAGGTACTGCAAGTGAAGAATGTGGATTGCTGTCATGCCTTTGTAAATGAATGCATTTTATAGATTTGATCATATGACATCGGATTATGACTGTGAGTGTTTTATGTATTTTGAATAAACTTTTAAACTTTATTTTGTTTTGTGTCCTTTTTTACAGCCATGTTCATCTTTGTGAGATTCTTTGCTTTGCTTTGCTCTGGAGAAAAATTGTGTCTAATGTTTGTGGAATGCTTTTGCAACCTTTGATAGGAATCAAATGGCCTGTATAGTGGTATTTGATATGTGAACTATGAAGATTATTTAGTGGGAAATTAACTACAGGCTGATGTTTAACTAAGCTTTAATGAAAGGCAGCAATACCTAATTCGTTAATCTATAACTTAGTTTGACAGTACTCTGTGTGCTTCAGTATTTGCAATGATTTTATGCAACAAGGGTACATGAATGCAACTCAAAAGAGGTAGTGAATTCACTTACACAACTCAGCATGTGTTTTACCCTCCACTGCAGGCATTTATCCTTTTGGCCTATTGATGCATTACTAAATGGGCACACTGGGCACAGGATTATGGGGGCATAGATATTACATGTTTTCACCTGCAAAATATCTGTGTGAATGAAACCTAGTCTAGAATGAGTTATAAAATGAATACAATCAGTTACAAAATACTTCTTTTGTATCAGGGCAGTGCTGGTGATCTCACTGTTTTAGGATGTGTATTCATTTCAGTTCACCCCCCATAGTTAGACATGGGGGGTGAACAGATATTTTCTTAAATGTATCCTCACTTGTTGAGTTAGCCACAACCTAATTGTTGTCCATAGTCCTTACCTGTAGTCAGAATTATAAAGAACCTTTAGAAAAAAAACTGTCAGCATTACAAAAATGAAAAGAAAGCGAAATAACAGACATAAAAAAACAAACCATAGAAGGATAAAATCAATGGAGACAAAAGTGATTATCAATCAAACATCTTTTAAACTGTGTTTAAAAGCTGTAGATGGTCTGCTGTCTAATACTAGCTTGTATAGAGCTCTACTGTTGCACAACCTTTACAGAAAATGCACACTGACCACAAGAGCTCTGCCTCAAAGGAAAAATACAGGCTTGTCAAACGATTCCTGTTTACACTGGCAATGAAGTAACTAAAGGTTGAAGAAGCCACATAAGGTAATTTTCTTATAAATAGGACATGACCATATATATATGTATAGCTAGATATATATATATATATACACATATGTATACATACATATACGTGGTCAAGGGTTGTTTTTATACGGAAGTGAAAAAGGACACGTGATGATTTGCATTTATTTTTCTCATGTGACAGCCACTTATGACCAGTTACTGTAATCTGATTACTTTTTCCAAGTAATTTGTAAAAGTAAGGGATTACTATTGCAGGTGAAAATAGACTTAAGAGCAACAGTACTTAGTGGTCCTGAATCTTTGACTTTATGTTTTGCTATGTAAAAATATTTTATTTTGTATGCTGGAATATGGAGAAAATAGGTTTAAATGTTAAAAACATTTCTTCAAGTCAAGAATGTTTCATATAATTTCATTTTTACTTGATGCAAAAAAGTTAAAAGATTCAAACTAATAAAACAAGTTTTAAAAAAACTTTTTCATTTGATTTAATTGTATATAATGGATTATGCAGGAAAAAATAGAATTGGGCTGAAAGGTCTATTGCTATATAACGTTTTCAGGTTGTGCATCATGTTTTTAGAAAGTAACAAAGTAATAAAGTAACTAAATACTTTTGAAAATAAGTAATCAGGAAAGTAATGGGATTTTTTAAATATATACATATATATTAGTGTATAACTGGCTGTCACATGAGAAAGATAAATGCAAATCATCACGGGTGTCCTTTTTCGCTTCCGTATGGAAACAACCATTGTCCTGTCATCTGGGGGGTGTTTTATAACACTTTAATTATTCTGTAATTGCTTTGTTCACGTCTCTCGCTTGGCAACCAAAAGTCATTTTCATTGTGCTGTTTTATCCACTCAGAAGACGTGTGGGATGCGTGTTTCCCTGCATTTATTAATGGAAAGGGCGTTTAATACATTCTCGAGCTCTTCCTGTTTCCCCTCGGCTGTGCAAAAGTCAGTTCGCCGTCATGGGATAAACAGCAGGAACTTCCGCAGTAAACTTAACGAAACAACAAACCGAGCTGGACATTAGAAAGCGGTTTGAGGGAGATCTTCTGAAATGGGTCCCGGTGTGCTTCTCGTTTTAGCGGCTTCGTTCTGTGTCGTATGGACACAGTTTGTGCCTCCGGTAAGCAAGATTTCTCTAACCACACTAACACGCTGTGTTATCAAAGCTCGACTGTTGTCTGACTGCATTGTTTTCAGTGATGTTTGAACCATAAGAGACAGTGACCTTCTCTCCCGCTTATTTACTGCTGTTACTTTCGTGTGTTTGCAGTACACAGAAGACTGTCGGACGGACATGTATCCACCGAAAGGCCCCACGTATGTCACATTATTGTGTAGCTGTCATGTTAATGTTTTAGAGTTGTTACAGAAACTCCGTGATTCGCCTGGTAGCTGAGTCACTGCTGTGTTTGATAACAGCCCTGCTTCGTAATGAGCTCTGCTGCTTTCACTTACTCCTCGTAAATTTGTTAGCCGCACATGTATCCGTTGACAATACTTTGTATTATTTCTTTATGCAATTTTATTACTGCCATTGGCCCTAAGTGAGCTCTGGGCGAGCTTTCTTCCCTTTTTGTGTGTGTGTCTTAACTGTACACTAAAGCTAAAACTGCCAATAATGAATATAGATAGCAGGGATCAGGACAACACATATGCATCGGATACTTCACCTTTTAAACTTTATCCACAGAGTTTTAAAGATCTCTCGGCTATAAGGGAAGTGTAAGATTTATTCTTTGCCACCATTCTTCGGTAATCAGGCTTAACAAGTTTTGATGAGGACCCCCTTAGATGTCTGCACTCCCCCACCCAGGAATTTAAAAAGACAATTCAATTCACTAATATTTATGCAGCGCCAATCAACCTTTAGGCAAGCACTTAATGAAAGTGGGAAGGAAAAACTCCATTTTAACAGGAAGAAACCTTTGGCAGAACCAGGCTCAGGGAGGGGAGGCCATCTTCCATTACCGGTTTGGAGTGAGGGGAGGGAGACGGGGCAAAAAAACTACTTCTTTCTAACCGAAAGAAGTAGTTTTATCCAGCCATTTATCATTTATGTCATCATATCTTCGACTAGTTTTGCACTCACTTTATTATTTCTTAACCAAGTCAGTAATGTATTAGAACTCACTTAGCTGCGATGAACAATAATGCTGTGAATGGAGGCTTACCACTAAAAGCAGGGGACTAGTGTCGTTTTTAAATCTTTTGCTTTCTAATCAGGTTCAAAGGAGCCGTGAGCTGGTACACAGTGGACCTCGACTTACCGCCCAGCAAGAGATGGTCGGCTGTGATTACTGACAAAAAAACAGATGTAAGAGTCATTGGAAAACACTTCGCAATAATGCTCCAAGTCCCAGAAAAAAAAGCGCATTAAAATCGTGATCTTATTCTCTTCAGCTGGTCAACATGATAGAAGCCATCAAAGAGCTGGCTGACGCTTTAGTGCCGAGCGGAAAGCTGATAGAGATGGTCGACATTGCACTGGTGAGTGCTGTCTTCTCTTCTCCCACTTCCTTGATATATACTTTTCTTTCTTTTTTTTTTTAAACTTCATCTCAAGTGTTTCTGATTGAATCCTTTGCAATGTTTCACAGCCTTTAATGGTGGACACACTTCCAAGCCCGTTCAATGAAGAAATCAGAGGAATCGCAGCTGCTTCAGGGGCTCCTCTTGGTAAATAAATGAATTGAAGTAAAGTAGTCAACTCTCTAGTAAGCGAAAAAGGAAATCCAAATAATCTCTGTTTTCGTCATTCTTAGGTGAAGTCGTCTTGTTTAACATCTTCTACGAGGTGTTCACCGTGTGCACGTCGATTGTTGCAGAAGACGAAAAGGGTAAGTGGGCTGATTTTTGGAGTCAGTGAAGTGATTTTTATTTTTTTTAATAATTAACTGATACACTGTTGGGCTTTGGCTTTTTTCAGGTAACCTCATTCATGGCAGAAACTTAGACTTTGGTCTATTTATGGGGTAAGTTTATCAGTTTCACGGGTTTCAAATTTTAAGCCAAGTCTTGCCTCAGACGGGTTAAAAGTGTGTTCTTCTTCAAAGCTGGGACGTGAAGAACAAGTCGTGGATCATTAGCGAGAGGCTGAAGCCTCTCGTGGTCAACCTCGACTTCAAGAGAAACAACCAGACAGTCTTCAAGTCGACAAACTTTGCCGGTTATGTTGGCATGCTCACCGGCATCAAGCCTGTGAGTCATTTAGTAGCACATCTGAGGATTCAATCGGCATAAAACATTATTTAAGGCAGCAGAGTTGCCTATGCTCTTTGTAGTTGTGGAAGTACAGAAGATTAAAAGGAAAGTTTCTCTTGCAGAACATCTTCACCCTGACTATGAACGAGCGCTTCAGCCTCGACGGAGGATACATTGGTGAGCTTTTGGGGTTCTACACGTGTTCAAGATCAATGTTTTGTCGTTGTTTGTCAACGTGTTGATCTGCTCTCATGCAGGAATCCTGGAGTGGATCTTGGGACAAAGAGATGGGATGTGGATGAGCTTTCTCACTCGATCAGTCCTAGAAAATGCAACCAGGTATTCTTTGATACTTAAAGCAGTTTTTTGGCCACTAATGAGCACCAAGACAGTGTGACAGTGTGCCTTTTCGTGTTAATGTGTAGAAGTGGGAGGCAGTGAAACGCTGCAGTGCCCGACTATAACAAGACAAAAGTAGATTTAAGTAGAAGATTAAGTTTTGCTGTTATTTGGTACGCAGTGCATCCACTGTTTGATACGTCTTAGGGATTTCGATGGCACTGTTAGTAATAAATTAGTTTGTTTGTTTTTTAGCGATGATCTCTCCTTTTTGAGTTTTTGGAAAATAAAGAATAAGAATATCAGATTATAAATCATTGAAAGAAATCATATTAAAATGATTAGAAAATAAAATTCTTTCATTGGAAAGAAAGTTTCACTACAACATAAGTACTGAGTTAAAGCGCATTGTAGTTTCT